TGCTGATACACCTTTGTCTGCCAAAAAACTATAAATACAAATTAGTTTGATAATGTTTTCTCTTCTGCATCAGGTCAGGGTACATGTTTTCTACAGGCAGTATGATATTTTGTCAGAGTCATATTACCTGTAGTAAATGCACACCCCAATCTGATGTTGAAGGGCAAACAAAGCTGTTTTTACAGTTCTTTTTTTGGTGTTCTTGGAGCATCGTATGATTACAGTTAAACCACTGAGGACACTCCTTGTCTCCTTTTCTGGACTTTGAGCACCTCAGGACCATTCCTGTCAGTGGAGCATGAGGGAACTCGCAGATTTATTCTAAAATGTCCTAATTTGAGTTAATTTTTTTGGTGAACTAATAATTTAAATAGGACCAATCTTTTCTCAGATGTACAGTTACTAACCTTTGTTCTCTTTCTCTTTAGCCTGGCTGTTCCAACCTTGTGTGTAAAGAAGCAGCATATCTGAACATGCTGAAACACCCTTCAGCAAGCATGCACGTGATAGAAATGTATGAGTGGTTTGATCAAGATGGGTTCATTTCACTCGTCATGGAGTACCCCCAACCTTGTGTATCTCTGCGGGACTATATATACATGCATGGCAAGCTGAAAGAACCGGTCGCACGTTCCCTGCTGCACCAGTTAGTCCAGGCAATCCAGCACTGCGTTGAGCATGGTGTTTCCCACAACGACATGCATGCTGACAACATCCTAGTCAACACAACGAAAGTGGAGCTCAAGCTGATTGACTTTGGCTGTGCTACCAAAATCTGGGCAGAAGATTATGAAAGTGTCGTCTTGACATACATCTGGACCATAGGCTACATGCTGTATTACATGGTGAATGGTAAATATCCAGTGTACAGAACTTCTGGAACGGAGCGCCGCCGTTTGTTTGGTCCCAAAGTATCCAGTGGTGAGTAAAAAGACACATGTACATGTCAAAACCTCAACCTGTTGTAGTTCATGACAAGACAGATAGAGCTTAGCATTGATGAACCAAGGAAATGTTTGACTTTAATAAGGAATCTAACAACACCATGTATATTAGCTCATGAATGGGCAACTTCAGTTCTGGGGGGGGGCACTGTCCTTTAGGGTTTAACTTTAACTTTAATCCTCAAGTGATCTTGATCTTGATCATCTACTGCTCCTTACATTAGTCTAGTAAAATAGTGCATTTAAAGGAGTGCATGTAAACGAATGAGTAAATTGAAGCTGTTTTGTTTGTGTTTTTCTGGTTGATAAACCCCTCAGATGGATTGGATTCTGCTTGGTCAGACCCAAGTTATATATCACAACAAGCAATATACATTAGTAAAGAAACAATGTAGTTTGATTGATCATGTATAGAAATGTTAATTTAACAATTAAATAATACTTTATTTATTAATTCATTTAAATGTATGGTATAGGGCTGCGATTTCAGATATAGCCATTGGTTAGCTTGTTTCAGGAGTGTTTGATTAGGATTTAAGCAAAACTCTGCAGCACACCAGGCCTCCAGGACTCTGCAATAGCTTTTTTTAAATCTCAAATTTAAGAAGATATCTTCATAAATGTCAGCTTTAATGTCTAACACAGTCTTGATTAACTATCTCTTTCTCCTTGTACAGACTGCTGTGATCTGATAGAAAAGTGCCTGGATAACAAATTGTCAAGACTGGTGGACATCTTACAGCACAAGTGGATGAAGAATCAGGAGATGAAGAAGGGATGAAGGTAAATACAACTGATCCAGTAGGAAACAACATTTCTAATACTGGCACACACAAAGCTGATGATGTCATGTTAGTTTTGGCACTTTTATTAATCATCTTCAGTTTTGCTAATGGCTAACATATTTAAGTGCACTTAAAACTCATAAAAATGTACAAGTATTAAACATTTTAGCAATACAGTTAATGTGAAAGAAACACATTTGAATATTCGAAGATGTTTATAAAAACAAAACAAAACAAAATTTTTTTTTTTTTACATTTTCTGAAAATCTGTACAGTATATACACACACATATGAAGATGTTTTACTAAAACTTTACTCATGAACCCCTGGTTTTTTACAATTTATTTTCTCTATTTTTGCGACCAAATTTTCTGGTGGTAGTTCCTGAAAATTTTGCGATTAATATATATCTTCATGACTCAAGTCTTTAAAATAAAGCTTTTGTCAAGACAAGATCTGAAACGGTAGGGGTTAAGCCAAAATAAGGTTGCATAACTCTTATTTTTTACCGACAATCTTACTTTCTGTTTCTCAGATTTTGCTCTCTGAGGCATGACATCATGTACCTCACTCAGAACATGCATTAGAGCTTCCCTTACCATATTAAACCTACAACATGTCAATGGCAGTGAAGCGTTTTCTCTCTTCAATGGCAGGGAAAATCATTTATCAATTTGGCGCATATCATAATAGCAGCCATACATATAAAGCAAAAATAATCTCATTCAATTGAGTCACGTCCAGCGGCCGTCATCCTTGAACCAATCTCCATCATTGTAAGCTGCTTCCTTTTCTGTCTGTTCCACTGCTTCATTTGTTAGACGCTGTTATAGTCTGAAGTCTACAAATTTGCGCCATGTCATTTGGTCAATTTGTACCGCAGGATGTCTAATCGCAGAATTTTGCAGAATCGCAAAAGATCTAAACTTTTTGTTGATTTTGCGTTTAATTTACGGATCACAAAAATAATTGAAAACTAGGGCGTCTGTTTACTGCATATAACTACTTCAAAACAACTTTGTGATAAATAATATTCTTGTTGCAGTATCTGTTTTATGGGCTGATTGTAGCTTTAGGAGGCAGTTAACAGACAATGATTTTCTTTTGTGTTGCTTCCTATTTGATCTAAGTATGCACTAGACATATTTCAGACATGCTTTTAAATTTTTCTTCTTTTATTTTTCCTCATTAAGGAACTTCACACACAAAGCAGCAAAATCTTCAACAAAACAATTGTCAAGAATCATCAAAACTCATCTATAAAGAAGCCTTCATAGATGAGAACTACCAGAACCACCATCTGTGCTCATAAACACTACAGGATCAGCGTTTCCCCAGGAAACTGCCTCTTTTGAGCTACTCTTCATGGGATCGGCATTCAGCAGAGACATTACACTGAACTGAACTTCAACAGACATTTGTTAAGCTGCTTTGACAACATCTGCATTGTATAAGTTTTGTAAATAAAGATGAATTGACTGTACATATCAGAAATAATATATATAGTATATTATATATATTTATTTAGTTGTACATTTTGCACTATTGTGTGTGTGTGCGTGCGTGGGTCAGATATATTCATTCATTTTCTTTTTGGATTAGTCCCTTTTTTAATCTGGGGTCATCATCGCAGAATTAACCGCCAACTCATCCAGCATATGTTTTATGCAGTGGATGCACTTCCAGCTGCAACCCATCATTGGGAAACCCATACACACTCATTTGCACATATACATACACTACGGAGAATTTACCCTAGCTAATTTACCTTTACCGCATGTGTTTGGACTGTGGGGGAAACCGGTGTACCCGGAGGAACGCAAACGCAGTGAGAACATGCAAACTCCATATAGAAATGCCAACTGACCCAGCTGAGGCTCAAACCAGCGACCTTCTTGCTGTGAGGCGACAGCACTACCTACTGCGTCACTGCAATATATATATATATATATATATATATATATATATATATATATATATATATATATATATATATATATGTAGTTATTTTTTTCGAGCGGTAAGAATATAGAATAGCATTTAACAGTTTTACAATTTGTACTGTATTTTTAATGAGAAACAGACTCAGTGAGCAGGGGAAGCTTATTTAAAAACATTTAAACATTTTACTGACCCCAAACTTTTGACCGGTAGTGTGTGTGTGTATATGTGTGTGTATATATATATATATTTATTTTATTTATTTATTTTTTTCATATATTTATGTATAACATTTTACTGTTGAAAGCAAAGAACTCGATTGGACAGGGAATATTGTTTTCTACTGTGCACATGAGAAAATATAATAAAGGGAGAAGATGTAAGAAAAATACATCTTAATAAAAGTGTTTTAATAAAGTTACTTTTTGTAAAGTAACTTTATGGAATTAATTTATATTAACTTTAAAATGGATATTTACTTTAACAAATTTAAGAGAACAGTTTTAAAAAGGGCCAGTGAAGAAGCAGATCTCTCTAGTGTGTATTTATGGTCCAGATCAAGTCTTGTACACAATTTTAAAATGATTAAAATTAGTTTGAAATTAGTTTGTGAAACTTCACATTTTTCCATTGGATTGCAACCCCTGGGTTTTTTTTTTTTTTACATTAGATTAACAACAGCAGTAGCATCAGACTGATTTTACAGCACCAGTCTAAACCTGGACACCTTTATAGAACTCACATACAGTGCTCAGCATAAATGAGTACACCCAATACACACTTTAGCAAGGTCAGACTGCTTTGTTTAGCCATGCAGAATGGCATTTACATGTATCCTGCAAATTTAAAACAACTCTAAATATTTTACATCTCACATTATGAATGATTGTGCTGTTATTACGTTCTCTCTTGTGCAATTAACATGATAACAAACCATTATCACAGTCAGATTACCGGAAATTGACTGGCCTATATTGATATCCATTGTTAAACATCTATTCAAGTCATAATGACGAATCACAAAATGATTGCTCTATTGATTACTAAGCATTTGAGCATCGATATGCCCTTCTACAGTCCGTCTAGCTTTACGATTCTCATCAACTTTTATGCGCAGACTGCATGAGTTACACAATTGACCTGGCAATGTGATAAGTTGGCTCAATACATGTTTCAGATGGCCTGTATCAGATTTAAATATTTATAAAAATAAAGACTTAGGATTAATTCATATCACAGGATGGAAAGCACAATCACAGAAAAAATCAAATGAGCAAAATAAAAAATAAAAAGAGCATGGAATATGGAAATAAATCTCAAGAGGTACCGAAAGCACAATATATTTTTATTGAATTTATTGTTAATATGTTTTATGCAGCTTTTTTTTCTATAGTTATCATCATATTGGAGTGAGCAGTGCCAAAATATAAACACATTTTCTTCTTTTTCTCTCATGATCTCTTTTACATTGACTTGATTATTTTTTCCCTGTTATAACAAAATTAAGCACATGAGTACATGTATATAAAAGACAACAGAAAACAAATACAGTCCAATAACAAGATTCCTGTGCCCATCAATATTAATTACAGGTAATACTATTAAGGACCTGCCTTGACTGTGTTTTCTTTTTTCCCCCTAACAACAGAAAATGAGAGTAATAAATTCTTGACTAAATGTATAATATCCATGGGCACAAGGAGCACCTTGAACAGGAGGCAAAGGGGACTGTGTATAGTGCTGCAGGACTGGCCGCTTGTTCCTGTAGATCTTCTTGCTTGATTGCTAAATAATAAACTCTTTCCCCTTTGCTCTGTGGAGACTTTAAAAAACTTTGAATGTTTTTGTCCACAAGAACCGAAGCAACACCAATCTCTGATGGGTATTAGGAATGTAGACAAGGGTCCTCAGAACTGGAACAGAACAATACATAAGGTGTCCATTTAACATTTTTTTAATTAATATAAAGAACATGTATGAGTGACATACATACATCATATATGTATATGTATATGTATATATATATATATATATATATATATATATATATATATATATATATATTAGGGGTGTCAAAATTTATTGTTTCTTTGATGCACCGCAATGCAGACGCCAACAATTCGATTTTGGTTCAGTAATAATCATAACTGGTTATTATGTACTGACGTCGATCATCATATATCCGTTATATGTCGGTCGCTTACTATGGCGAGGGAGAAGACCATGAATAATTAAAATGCTCCAACTACTTAAAAAGCAGATAACTGTGCACAGTTCACTGCTTGTGAGTTTGCTAGAAAGTCTTTCACAGGCACATCTGAACCCAGCTAGCAAGAAATGAAATATGTAAACTCTCTCTTAATCTCTGTGGCCACTTTGACCTGCTGGATTGTGCCACTTGTGTCAGTGACACATACCAGTAATGTCAGTGATCTTGTGACATGTGCAAATGACACCTATTATCTGAATATATGTTATGTATTTACAACATGCATTTTATTATAATAAAAAATATATAATATAAATTATATAATAAAAATAAATTATTGAATTAACAAACATAGAGAGGTCCATATTGTAGGAACTGCCAAGATGAAATAATATACAGCACAACAGATCAGCATGTCACAATAAATTTTATATCCACTGACAAGTACTGTCAAATGACTAAATATTACATATAGTAGCAATAAATACCGGAAGTATAGCTACAAATACATAAAACAAATGCTTTTAAATTAAAACATCATGGAGTAGTCCAGCATATAAACTAACTTGCGACGCAATAAATCATGTTAAAAGTCCTGTAATGATTATATATGATTTTGCACATGTTGATTAGTGTCATTAAGCTTCGCTGAGTGTCGATATCATTGCAGTGACATGCAGCGCGACACTGAGTGACACAGGTCACTACACATGCCACTACCGAGTGACACATAACAGTGAAAATCGGAGGTGCCACCGGAAGTGTCACTACACTCAGTGGCATGTGCCAGTGGCATCTGTACGTCAGATGTTGTGTCACATGTTAAAACTTCCTCTCTCTAACCTAATAAGGTTTAAATATGTTGTTAATAAATGATTATATTTTAAAATATGCCTAAAACAAGTCTTTTTCCCCCCTCATGCAATACATTAAACTTACATTCTTGAGGAATTCCTCTGCAACAATTCGGGCGCGAGCGTTGACCGACAGCTTCATCTCACTGATCTCCTTATCGATCTCCTCCATGAAATGGATAACAAAGTCCACCAGCTTGTGTTTATACATCTGCTCTGTGTGGAAGTTAGTAATGAGGAAGCTGATGTCATACCCCTAAAGGCACAAAAAGGAGAAATGAGACTTGTTTTATACATCACAGTTCAAGCGCTTCACACACTCAATTTCATTTTCGGCTTGCACAAGAAATAAAACTAACAACTTTTTTTTATGTGTTTTAGCTGTTGAATTACATGGCAACAGTGTTCTGTGTTCCTCAAAAACATAAATATTTGAAAAAGAGTTTTAAAAAGCATCTTTTTCAAAGCTATGATATTACCATTTTGATGTAAACTACAAGGATATGAAATTGACATCAATGAAACTGACAGCAAATGTGTCTTTCATGTTCTTTAAAACGTCACTCAAACTATTACACTTGCTGCTTGTTCAAACTATGTATTTACATTTAATTGAAACAAAACAATTCTTTTTGTTTTAAATACTTAATAGTCGCATGTTTAATCCACTTAAATATGTAAAAACAATTAAGTCAACTTAATCAATTTGTGTTGAGTCAACATGAAGGAATTAAGTGGACTCCAGCTTTTTTTTTTTACAGTGAAGACTACTGTGTTCAAGAAAAACGATCTCTGTCCACATTACACACCATAAAACACATGCTACATAGAGAAGAGTCTGGCTACAGAGTTACTCTTGCATCTTCAGGCTTGCACGCTCAGGCACCAACGCTTCCTATGCAAGTGACGTCATTTATAATCGACACCTGCACCTATCACGTCACTTGAAATCAACACAAATAAAACAAAAGTAGGTTTCCAGTTTGTTTATGTTGCCAGTGACGATATCATAAAATAATTTTAAGTACTTAACTTGTACATCATGACAGAAGTCATGTCTTGGTCTTAGTCCTTAGTAACCATTTCCTCTTAAAACATTTAAGGGACCCAATCAGCTCTCTAGAACAAATGACACTCAAAATGCAAGCATTCTCACCCAAAAAAATGTGTTTTAGATAAAAGACTCACAGGACTGGAAATAAATAATTTAATAAAACTATTCAAATAAACTGATATATACGTCTTGATAAGTTTGCACATCTGCGCAGGAGTGTATCTATGAGATCACAGTTACAGCGGAGCGTGTGCGCACAGTCAGAAGCAAAACCGCATGCTCCTGTTTAGTTCGTGCTTTTACGTGCAACACATTTTTACAACTAGAAAGGGGGCGGTAATAATCGTTTACCTCGATTAATGGTTTTTAATAATCGTTAGAGGCCGAAATCGAAACCGGATTTTTGATTAATTGCACAGCCCTAACTTCAGGTTAATTTTTAAACCATTTAATGGTCTCAACTATATAAACAGTCAAACTATATGAAGCATTTTCCGCATAGTCACAATGACATGCAGTTTTGAGTGTCTTAATGACATATTTCTCCATTTCATGCTTGTTCTTCACAACTGAGCTCACCTCGACAGGTTTCCTCCTCAAGATGAAGAAGTTCTCCGCTCGCATCATCATAAATCTCATAAATTTATGGCACAGGATCTTCTCGATCTCGTCAGCCTACAAAAACCATAAATATCTTTAGAAAATTGTGTGGCGATGCCAAGCTCGCCATCTGTCTTTGAAAGTTCATCACCTTACCTGCTTGACAGCAATGCTAACTCTGACTGAGTTTATAGAGCCCTCGATCAGGACCTTCTCCTTGTCATTTCGGCTTATGACCACTGGCTGCAACAGGAGCTCTTTGCTGCTTCTGTATCGAGCAACATGCACATATATGGTTAAACCAAAAAACAAATAATAATATTAATAAGAAGAAGAATTCAGACACCAGGTATTTTTCGATATACTGATTCAATTTATTAGTGAATCCAGAACACTATAGTTCAGTTAGGTAAGTGGCAGAGATGTATAAAGTACTAGAGACCCATACTTAAGTAAAAGTACAAGTGCTTTATCAAAAATTGACTTGAGTAGAAGTAGAAGTGCTCTTTAAGGACCATACTTAAGTGGAAGTACAAAAGTATTCAACATTTTTTGTACTTAAGTATTGCAAGTAGTTTATTTCAAAATGTACTACTCAAGTACTGAAAGTAAAAGTACAAGTATTGTGTAATGTAGTTATTAAAGAAAGCAGTCAAAATACAATAATTGTTTTGTTTATTTTAAATATCTTTTTGGGGTACTTGATTAAGCAGAACGAAAAGAAACATGGCTTATCATACTGTTTTTCTCAGTAAATAGTTTCTATGGTACAGGAACTCACATCGTCAGGCCCTTTTACCAGAAAATGCCTTCACTGATGAGATAATTCACCATGTTCACTCACAGACATACTCTCTCTCTCTCTCACACACACACACACACTGCCCTGCACACACCTAAATGTACACTCTCTCCCCACTCTCACACATTCATACACTCTCACACACACAGTTCTCTCTCTCTCTCTCACACACACATTTTTGTGAATTGTGGGGACATTTCATAGGTTGCAATTGTTTTTTCACTCTCTCTCTCACACACACACACACACACACACACACACACACAGAGATGCACACACAGGTACAATCACTGTTGTTTTCTCTTGCACATTATTCACTCTCACTCACTCACACACACACAAAGACACACTCACACTTTGGGAGTTTTAAAGTTTGATTGCTTTAAAATAAAAAGCTTTAAACTAAACAAGCAAACTAAATCCTGCTTCACAAATTCACTTGATTTTGATTTTATTGTAAAAAAACAGGAAAATGTGTATATTACTGTGTTAAATGAAAATCTGAAATATTTTATGGCTTATGGCTATGATTTAGTAATAATTTTTATTTATTTTTATCATGTTTTTAATTAAATTGATCTTACAGTTCATATTTTCTGTAGTATATTTATTAATTCTGGTACTTTTACCATAAACCAACATCTCAACCATTTGGTAGAGGCTGATATTTTAGAAATTATGTGATGTGTTGAATAAAAATGCACTGATTGTGTTAACTAGTGACATTTGGAGTTAAGAAATGCAATAAAAAAATTCTATTGCTTTTGTCTTGGTGTGACAGTTAAAGGGTTTTTTGTAATAAAATTTTGTCCTTTAATACAGCTGTCAGATATACGAACTGTGCCCTTAATTTGACCTGCTCAAAGAAAACACTCTTCCTGGATGTATCAAACAAAACTCATGCACAGAAGACAGCACGAGCATTTACAGCTAATAAACTCATGTCAATATTATCCCGCCTGCTTATTGAGCGATGACAGGCGGGTCTTACACGGCTATGATTGGTTATTGTCCTCAACAGAAAGGGCTTTAGAAATATAAGCGCTGTTCACCCATGGCGGGAAGAATACGCGATTATCACAGGTAATAGACACAGTGGAGAAAACTTGGCACGCTCATGTCTGGATCCACACCTTTAACAGCTAAGAAGAGAGGAAAAGTTACCTTACAAACTGGCCAACGGGTCAAATGTCCAAAGTGAGAGAGCGAGAGATAGGCAGAGGTTAAGTTTTACAACATTTCTCCCTAATAGTAAACTAGCGGCTGGTATGCTGTGCCGCCTCGCCCTCGCGCCTCCGTCCTTCGCCATAGTATTGCGACATCGCGCATAGGAGATGAATGACGTCATCACGTAATAACCGGGTATGACCTATTACTGAACTGATATCAATCATTTTGACACCCCTAGTAACGAGTAACGATGCAGCACATAAAAAATCTATCGGAGTAAAAGTATTAAACTCATGTAAAATATGTACTTAAGTAAAAGTGGAAGTAGGAGAAAAAAATAATACTCCAGTAAAGTACAGATACTGCCTTTTAGTACTTAAGTACAGTAGTAAAGTAGTTCTACTTCGTTACTATACATCTCTGGTAAGTGGTGACAGCAAAATAAAGTAAACTTGGGCATATTTTACCTAACAAAGTGTATTTAATATTGTATTATTGTAATATCATTGTATTTTTCATTCGGTGGACTTCTATCCAACAGGAAGTGAAGAAGGTGCTGCAGTGAATCAGGGAAAATGCTGAATTTCAGCTTTATATAAGAAAAATATTGATAGTTGGGTAAATATTGTCATTTAATCAGTTGTGTAAATTATTTTTGGTAGATAACAATCCACTACATACTGTACTTTTCGATCAAAGATTGGGCACAGTTCAGTTGAGCCCTTGTTGTCATTTTGTATTATCATTCTCTAAACTATAGTAAATAAACAGTGATAATGTGAGAAAGTATTTGTGGTCTTATATAGTAGAGTATATTAATGATTTCCTTACCTAACCTCAACCTCAGGCTTGTTGTGTCGCTCAACCACCTGAGAGGAGAAGTTCTCCAGACACAGGGCTGCTTGAAGAGTGGCGCGCACAGCATTCAGGTAGGGTCGCAATGTTGCCGTCTGTATATTTAAAACAAGAATATTTAATATTTATCTTTTATTACAGATCCTTGTCAACTTTAAAGCAATAGTTCACTAACTAACAGAAAAACGTATTATGTTGTTTTTTATTGTAATATATATACACAGTGCTGAGTATAATTGAGTACTCCTATTTTAAAAAAGAAAATTGTATCCATTTCTCAGTAAATATAGGCTATGTATTGTGGTGCATTTAAACAAAACAGATTAATTAAACCAATATATTTATTAGAATAATATTTAAGTCACTAAGCATCTTTAAAAATTGAAAGATAATACAATTAAACAAAATATTGCAAAAAAAAATCACAAACTACAAAATTTCAACATAATTTTTCAAGTTTTTGCCTCTCTTGATTTTTTATCTCTTTTTTTTTAAATTTGCATGTAATATTTTTCTATAACATAAATTTGGGTGCTCTAGTTTTTTTTTTTTTTTTTTTTTTAGACCTTTATTATTTGTTAGATAAGCTCCAGATTTGGCTTCAGTACTGACTAATGTAAATGCACAAATATAATATTGTATAGCTTCCTATTAAATTATATATATATATATATATATATATATATATATATATATATATATATATATAATGAATCAGTTATTAGAGATGAGTTATTAAAATTATTATGGTTAGAAATGTGTTGTAAAAATCTTTTCTCCGTTAAACAGAAATTGGGGGAAAAAATAAACAGGGGTGCTAATAATTCAGGGGGGCTGACTTCAACTGTACATAAATATATATATATATAAAAAATAAATATATATATATATATATATATATATATATATATATATATATATATATATATATATATATATAAATAAATTTATATCTGCCATTATTTAATCAACTTAATGTTACCCTAGGTGCATATGCCTTTCTTTTACCAGACCAACATGATTGCCGTAACAATAAGTAATATACTAGCCCTTCCTAATTTTCTAATTTTGAGCACTATATGATAACTATGATACTCTTAACCATATAATGACAAGCAATAATGAGCATCTACCACCTTAGTAATTGCTAAATCAACGTCTTTCAACCATTGAAACATCTAGAAAATGGCTTATAAACATTCATAATATATATCACTTAACATGTTGATGATGTCTTAATTAGTTAATGAATATGTTTCCATAAATTTGACATGAAAAAAAGTCATGGAAGTCGTGGTTTAATTTGTTACATTTCAACAACAAATGGACTGGAATCCTGATTTTATAGTTTTAGATGATAATGTATAAACTGCTTTAACTGCTATAAAGCCAACATAAACATTTTATTTCACAATGATGACAAATTTAAAACTGAAACTGAATATTGAGTAGGGGGTGGGGTAAAGGAGGGGTGTGGCTAAGCACATTCCACCCAAGCTGTCAAACTGACATCATCAGAAAAGCACCAACATTCCACAGCAGAAGCAACTTGTTAGATTTTAATTAATGATGACCAAAACCAAAATTTATAGTTGACATCATTACTAAGAGAGATTTACATCCTTAAAGGAATAGTTCACCCCGAAATGAAAAATATGTAATCATTTACTCATTCTTCACTTGTTCCAAACCTGTTTGACCTATATTCCTAAAATGCAAAATAAGATATTTTGAAATATATTGGAAATGTAACCACTGACTTCCTTAATATTTCTTTAAAATATAATCTGTAGTGTTTAACATAATAACGTAAATCATAAAGGTTTATAACCACTTCAGAGGGAATAATTAGTGAGTACATTTCTGAGGTGAACTATCGTTTTATGTTTTGCTCAAAAAAAAAAATTTACTGTTCAATAAAAAGACTTCAGTGTATATGAAAACGTAGGAAACATGACTTCATCACAGAGGTACAGGTATACTTAATCATACAGAGCTATAATAATTTACATGACATGGTTGTATACAGTTGTCTCCATATTATTATTATTCATGAACGTATACTCGTAGTAAATACACAAAAACGTGACTGTCAGTGAGTGGAAGAGCAGTTGTGTGCTTGTCATTACAATGAGCTTCTGATAGTAATTCCGGTTGTCAATAACTATTCTTATAAATACATTTCAACAATCATATCAAATACCATATCAAACAAAACATTTATGTAGCATAATTAGTATTTAATCGAATCCATTTATTATTTTGATTCTTTTAAAGAGGATGCAAAATCCCTGACGTTAGCTAGCTAGCATAAATCAGGACAGAACACTCGATCAAATAAGCCAGAAATCAAAGCTGTTTCTCTATGCAAAATGCTTTACCGAAAAGCTTTTTCATGGGTTATTTAATTGGTTGGGCTATGATCAAAAACAATATTTGCAACTTTCGAGAATCGAAAATCTCTTACCATTTTATATGAGGTCTGTGGAGGAAGACGGAAGTCCGCACGCCACGCCTGGAGATGAGGAATCACGCCTCCATTGCGTCCTCACACTCCCGTAATTTATCTATTGGAAGAGCAATTCAGCTTAATTCTCACAAGCGCGTGGTTTAAATTTACACGAGTGGATGTCAAATTACAAAACATATGTTAATGCAAACTAAAGTTGTCACTATTATAATGTAAGAAAATAATACAGCTACTAAAACAACATAACAGTAATGTTGAAAAATCTTTTTGTTTAATTACGGTAAAGCCCAGCAGCAGTTTTTCCTAGATTCGTTTTTTCTTCCTTATATGGCAAATTACACGACAGGTCAAATAAATTGTACGTTTATCAAACAGGGTGTAATCTATAAATATTAATGTTCCGAAATAAACATTAGCTCTTTTGTGGCTTTGAACAGTTGATTATTTTTTTGAAAATAAATACAATTTATTTCCATACAGACGCGCTTTTGTATCGAATGTACCATTCTATGAACTGCGGTGTTGCGTTGTGAATGTCAACTGACAGGAAGCGGTATTTGTCGAATGTCGAATAATAATTTAACTATACAATATTTTAAGAAAACGTGCAACGGCCAAATTGAAGCTCTTATGATATACATTCATGTTTTTAAAATGTAATCAACGAGCTGTATCCCCCCTACTGGCATAATGGTCTAGTCAGTAATGGATGCCCCTTCATCGGAGGTAAACAATGCTATTTTATGAACCAATTAATGCAGTATAGGAGTTGAGTTTATCGTCCTATTACGTATTTAATCATATAGTTTAATTGTCAGCACAAGTCTTTTCATTGAAAGCTATACGCAAATATACTGGTAAATGCTATAACCGGCTGCCTGTGCTTTGAACAGCATGGAGCTAAATTAGCTTGTAGCCGTTAGCCTACATAGGCTGCTCGTTATATCATTTATCATCTTATATGGCAATCACTATTACATAATAGAGTGAGAAATTCAATACATGTAGGATTAGATTTGTTACACACCAAACAGTATAAATAACAACACATCTCTGTTTTGTTTTTCTGTAGCTGTCCACTAGTAACGTTACCACTAGATCAAAACCATTTACAATTTGTGCTGCTCATTAATAACACTAAAAAGACAATTAGAATATACTTTTTTTAACCCTCACTTTGTTTATTATTTCATTACAGATATAGATTTCTGTAAATGCAGAGATGAGTGAACTGAAGGATTGCCCCCCATTAAAGTACTATGACTTCAAACCTGTGGACCACGTGAAAGTGTGTCCACGCTACACTGCAGTGCTCAGCCGCTCAGAGGATGATGGCATTGGCATTGAAGAGCTCGACACGCTTCAGCTGGAGCTGGAAACACTCTTGTCCTCTGCGAGCCGACGTCTCCGAGCACTGGAGGAACAGAGACAGGTGAAAACTGCTGTTTTTACACTTGTCTTTTTCACATCTTCTGCGTACACTAGTTTGGAATCAGTGGGACTTTTCAATGATTTTGACAGAAGTCTCTACTTCTCATCAAAGCTGCATTTATTTATTTATTTTTTTTTAAAATAAAATGGAAGAAGAAATACAATTTGTGAGAATGTTTTATTGTAAAACAGGTGATTTTTTTCCTGTGATTGAATTAGGGCTGCACAATATATAAATTGGGTGTGTGTATAATCAGAATCAGTATCTTCCGTCCAATTCATATCCGTTTTCAAACAAAAAAGGATACTGAAGAAAACAGACTTTTTTTTTTTCATTTGTGAAAAAATTACATTTTTACTTGATTTAAATTTTTTTAATTTACGGTAGAAAAATGGATAAACGACTTCAAAATTCTTTATACACATGTAGGTGGTGCTGAAACGTCCTTTTTCCTCTGATTGGTCAACCAAATCTGAGCTCGTAACGTCGCCCTCAAAATAAGAGCACTCTGTGGATCAGCAGCCAGACTTTTAATTATTGTTATTTAATCATATATATAAACTAAGTTTACATATTCTGTCATTTGATCTGTTAGCAGGCTAACATTCTTTGCGTATGCCTAAATTAAATAAAAACATAAATTAGCAGTATTTTTAGACATTTGTCGTTAAAATAAGGCCATAGTTCGCTGACAAACGTCCTGCAGCAGCGCAACTGATGCTGAGCAAAGATAGCCATTTCCAAACAGCACCTAGTTTGCATGATTATTTCCTAACAAGGCCTATATAATAATAATGATGATAATATTAATAATGTTAATAATAATAATATTAATAATAATAATAATAATAATATATGCCTATAGTTCTCCTACCAAACGTCTTGCTGCTGTGCACCTGATGCTGAGCAAAGACAGCCATTTACGAGCAGCACCTAAGGCCTAAATAACAATAATAATAATATAATAATAATAATAATAATAATAATAATAATAATATTTAATATTGTTCACTTACTGTTTTTATTGTTTAGTTTTTTAATAATCATTTATTATTATTAAAAAAAAAAAAATTATATATATATATATATATATATATATATATATATATATATATATATATATACATATATATATATATATATATATTATTTTTTATTTTTATTTCTAGACCTAGCCCATGGCAGGCTACGCTGAATATTTAAAATAAGTGGATTTAAATAAAATACAATAGGATCGGTGGCTGTGCACGAGCAACATCTCCAGGTAGCCAACTCATTTAAGAGCCAAAAGAAGTTTAAGGACAATAAGCCTATACAATACGGTCAGCTGCAATGCCTATTTCTCATGCGTTTTCTCACACAACTAGACTTTAGAGACATTCTAAAACACTGGATTAATGAACAAATTTTCAAAGGAACCAATTAAACACAAACTTAGAATTTATAATAAATAATGTGTTGTAGTTCAAACTAACTGATGAGCTAGCTGTTGCGTTGCGCTAAAAGTTAACTTGACATTTGCTCTTCGTGAGAAGATATCTCTTTAACCTAATTATGCTTAAATTGTAGAAAATCTTTAAAATGACTGGACTTTAATCAAGCCTTTTTCATTTGGAGAATTACATTTATTATTAGCATAGTCTTATAAATTATCAGTTTATAAAATACATCATTTACAGATCTACTAAAGAATAGGATGAATGTGCAATAACTATAATATTTTTATACTTTATAGCTTTACATCGCGTGCGATAAAGATGTAGTCATTTATATAAGCTTGCTAACTGATGAAATGACAGAATATGTAAACTTAGTTTATACATATATTCATTCATTCATTTTCTTGTCAGCTTAGTCCCTTTATCAATCCAGGGTTGCCACAGCGGAATAAACCTCCAACTTATCCAGCACGTTTTCACGCAGCGGATGCCCTTCCAGCCAGAACCCATCTCTGGGAAACATACACACACACACTCATAAGGCTGTCCAATTAATCGAAAATCCGATTTTGGTTTTGATTTTGGCTTCAAACGATTATGAAAAAGCATTAATCTAGATAATTGATTATTGCATCATATACCACCATCTTTCCAGCTGTACACATGTGTTGCTCTTAAAAGCGCGAAAGACCGCCTGCTTATGTGTGTGTGCGGCACACACAGTTTGTTTCATATTTCTATTCTATTGTATTTATTTCTTTTTCCTTTACAGGGTGGAAAATAACTGTATATATGTAGTTCAAGTCAGAATTATTAGCCCTCCTATTAGCATCCCTTTTCCTACCCAATTTCTGTTTAATGGAAAGAAGTTGTTTTTACTTATTTCTGAACGTAATAGTTTTGTTATCTCATTTCTATTAACTGATTTCTTTTATCTTTGCTATGACAACAGTACATAATATTTTTCTAGATATTTTTCAAAATACAAGCATTCAGATTAAAGTGTGATTCAAAGGCTTAGATGGGGTAATTAGGCAAGTCATTGTATAACAGTAGTTTCTTCTGCAGAGAATCAAAAAATAGCTTGCTTAAGGGAGCTAATAATATTGACCTTAAAATGGGTTTCAAAATATTTAAACCTGCATTTATTCTAGCTAAAATAAAACAAATGAGCCTAGAGGAAAAAAATATTTTAGAAAACACTGTTAAAATTCCTTGCTCTGTTAAACATCATTTGTGAAATTTTGACTTCAACTGATAATCGTTTTTAATAATCGTGATTACAATTATGAACAAAATAATCGTGACTATGATCAGCCCTACACACTCATACACTACGAACAATTTAGCCTACCCAATTCACCTGTACTGCATGTCTTTGGACTGGGGGGATAACCGGAGCATCTGGAAGAAACCCACACGAACGCAGGGAGAACATGCAAACTCCACACAGAAACGCTAACTGAGCTGAGGCTGGAACCAGCGACCTTCTTGCTGTGAGGCGACTGCACTACCTATTGCTCTACTGCATCGCTTAGTTTATATATATATATATATATATAGTTAAATAATAATAATTAAAAGCCTGGGTGCTGGTTCAGAGAGGGCTCTTATTTTGAGGGCTACATCACGAGCTCAGATATAGATGACCTATAAAGTAAACGAAAAACAAAAAAAATGGCTGTTTTCTTTATTTTCCTTTTTTTAATTTGAAAACAGATGTGGATTGGATGGAAGATACCCTGAATATTGGTATCATCTGTTCATTTGATTATTAAATTTTTTTTGTAAAACGAAACACATGAAAAACAGTCAATATTTAGTTTTTCTGTTTATTCTGTAAGCACAAAAAAGCTCATCTATTAACCTGTTTTTGACTCAAAACAAAGTATTAAAACAAACACAAAACAAAAACGAAATAACGAGTCAAAAACTGCGTTTATTACTTGATTTGTTTGATCAAAAAACAAACACCAAAAAAACTGAGATTTCAACCTGTGGGAATGCACAAGACTGGTCAATAGGTTTGAGGCTGTAGAATTTAAATCAAACTTTGTTTATAAATTTATACATAACACAGGTACATATACACCTATAAATTACTCATATACACCTATACTACTGGATGTATAAAACAATATATGAAACTTGCGTA